AGCAGGCAGGAAAAGGGGGATTAACAGATACACATTAATAAATATAAAATAAATGACAAAGACCTGCTGTATAGCACAGGGAACAATATTCAAGTTCTTGTAATGAGTTGTACTAAAAACAATCTAAATGTATGTATATACATATGCATATGTTTATAACTGAATCCCTGCTGTACACCTGAAACTAACATTGTAAGTTAACTACACTTCAATAAAAAATAATTGGAAAAATAAAAACAAGTAATTAAAAAAAATAAAAGAACACTGTAATCCCCGTAGCTGTAGGTGGTGGAGAATTCTTGCTGCAAGCAGCAAGTACACTGGATCACTCCAGCACTGACTGTCACCCTTTCTGACCATCAGTCACTTGGTTTCACTGAAGTTACTTTTCTCTTCTGTGAAATGCTACATTTGCAACTAACAATGTATAGAATCTCATCATTCACAAGCCCAACAATTAGTGAGGACTTCCCATGGGCCAGGATCTGGACAGATGAAAAGATAGGGTCTCAGATATATTCATGGGTAGAAGAAGTTTATGCCATAAAGACATTAATTCTTCCTGTTTTGATAGACAGATTCAATGCAATTCTGATTAGAATTCCTACCAGATTTTCCATGGGATGTAACAAGTTAATTTACGGTCAGGAACAGCCAAGAAACATCTTTAGAACCACCACTGGGGAAGGGTGGATAGGTCATTGATTTCCACTGTTCTTTCTGAAGTGATGAAAACGTTCTGGAATAATAATGGTTGCACCACTGTGAATGTGCTAAAAGCTGCTGAATTGTACCATTTAAATGGATGGACTTCATGGTGTGTGAACAATATCACAATAAAGCTGTTATATGAAAAAAATATTTCTTGACAATTATTTTCCCCTCTATACAACTAGTCTGCCACACAATTTAAGAAAAACAAAAAACCAAAACAAACCAAACTGTGCCAGGATCTCTTTAGGACTGCAATGTCCCTAGGTCTCCAACGCCTCTGGTGGTGCTGTTCCTGTTAACACACACTAGCTGGGCTGGACTAGTTAGGGACTGTAACTATCTTTCTAAAATCGATGGTCACACGTTTCACCCTGGGAGAGGGAAGCCTGAAGGATGACACAGATTAATGCCTTTAGCTCATTTTTAACTGGACCAAGCCCTGCTTTCAACACTGTAATCCCTCTCACTATAAAAACACGTGACATCAACAAGCACCACCATCATAACACCTGAAAACGTTCAAGGAACTTACCTGGGGCAGAAACACTGAGGGAGGAGACAGAAGCTCCCTCAGCACTGACGCTCCCTTTTGCCAACTCCACCAGGAGAAGCTGGTATTTACAGCCTGAAGCTCTCAGACCGGGGAGCAGCGCCCACGCCACTGAGCTGGTCCTCAGGGATCAGGAAAGGGAGAGGAGGGCAGCCCCGTGGTCACGGGGCAGGGAAAGCGGGTAGGTTGAGGACGCGGGCTGCAGCCTCGCTTCGAGGCCAGCCCCAGCCCCTGCCGCTCGCTCCCGTCCGGGTCCGCCGATCCCGCCGTCCCGGGGCGCAACCCGCCCAGGGACGGGTATGGGTAGGCGGCCGAGGGGAGGAAGCCGGGGAGGAGAGGACTCGCGGGCTGGGAGAGGGGAAGGGGACGCCAGCCGCGGACTGAGGGGAGCCCGGCTGAGGCGAGAGGTGGCAGTTGCACACCTGGCTCTGGACAGCTGTGGTCGGGGAACCGGGGCAGGTGGCGAGGGCAGAGGGGTCTGGCCTGAGCAATTCAGCTGAACAGACGCTGACTTGAGCTCTCGCGGGCTGTGACACGCGGACCGCCCTCCCGCAGCCGCCTGAACCTTTCCCGTGAGCCCCCCACCTTGCACTTCCACAGCCATAGGCCCCGGACCGGGGCAGGAGCCAAAGGTCTACTGGGCGACAGAGCTGAGAAGCCTTTGGGGCCGATCCCAGGCTCGGAGCTGGAGCTTTCAACCCGCGGTCCAGCTGGCACTGACTGCGCATGCGCAGGAGGGCCAGCGATCCTCTGGGTTCTGTGAGAGAAGCTGGGGAAGTGAGGGAGGGAGAAGATGGGAGGAGGTGGGGAGGAGGGGAAAAGTGGAGGGAGACAGATGGACAGGAGGTGCAGAGAGAAGGGAGTGATCTGGAGGGGGGAGAGGAGTAGCAGAGATGGAGATTAAAAGCTTTACCTCTGGGGGCACCCTGAAGGAGGCTGCAGTCCTTCCTCTGTACCCTTCTCTAACACTTCAAGGCCCGCAGCTCAAATTTTACCTCCCTGGTCCAGCCCTCCAGCCAAGGCCTCTGCAGAAGCCCTACAGAGATCACACCCATTGCCCCCACGCGGAGCTGGGTTTCCTTTTGCTCTGGGAACCAAGCACCCGCGGGTGTTGTCACTCAGAACTACCTTGGGAAGAGTACATATTCCCCTTTTACAAGCTGGGAAACAGGCAGGCATGATCTCTTCCTTAGCTCCACTGTCCCAGGTGTTGGGCTGGCAGGGAGCGGGAGATACAAAATCAGAGCCCCAGAGGGAGCAGACTGCCTTTGTGTTGGTGCATAATCCCCGTCCCTCCTGAGTAAACCACACCCCACCCTAGGGGAACCATCAAGGGCTCACAGTAGGTCCCTGGGTGTGAGAGAGCTGTCCTCAGTTCCAGTGCCCAGCTTGCTAGGTAGATAGGAGTATTACCGAGTCCAAATTCATTCCCTCAGTGCAGGAAAGACCAATAGTTTGGGAGACCAGGTGTTGGGGCATGGAATAGCAAGTTTCTGTAGACCTTGATGGCAAACTAATGTCCTGGAAATCCATCTCCCCAAGTCAGAATTCAGGCTCCTTTCCTACGTGCTTGGTTGTAACAAACTTCTTGATGTAGGAATTCTTTTTTGTTAGAATCCTTTGTTCTTGTAGCTATCTGCCTGAGTCAAAACTTCGTAAACCTCCAGCAAAACAAACGTTATTTTCTATTCTGCAACTTGTTATCTTTTTATGAATGAAAAAGTGTTAAATATCCTTAAAGGTCAGAGCCTTCATAATAGGCTCTCCTTTATATTTCAGGCTCTAGGCAACATTGTTTCACAAGCAAGATGAAGCCTAGGAAACAGGGCACAGGGTTAAAGTCAAAAGAACAGATCTAATATGGAGTCAGATTTGTTCTTTCCTATTTCAGTAGTGCCATGGAGAAGGCACTTTGGGCAGCTTTTTGTAGGGTCCTGGAGGCTTTCTCTCTCAGCCTCTGGGTGCCTCTATTGTAAACCCTTCATAGCTGTCTGCCCTGCTGGAAAACCACTCTGACTGTTTTGCCCAGAAGATGTGTTCTGTTTATAACTCATCTCTACTCCTTGGAAAACAACTCAAGAAAAACTAAGTTGGTTTTCCACCAGCCCTGGGCAGGGGTGAGGGATAGCATGTTATTATTTTATAAGATAAAAATAAAAATAATAATAATAATAAAAATAATAAAAGAAGTCTTAAAGCAGCACTGGGCACATAGGAGAGTGTTGGTTCTGCACCTTTTGTAAAACAATGTTGCCTAGAGCCTGAAATATACAGGAGACCCTATTCTCAAGCCTCTGACTTTGAAGGATATTAACACTTTTCCATTCATATAAAGATAACAAGTTACAGAAGAGAAAATAACATTTGTTTGTTGGAGGTTTACACGGATCTGACCCAGGTGAAGAGCTGCAAGAACAAAAGATTCTAACAACAAAGAATTCATAAACCAAGTTTGCAACAACCAAGCATTCCTGCTTCCCCTTTTTAATATAAAAAGAGCCTGAATTCTGACTTTGGGAGATGATTTTCCAGGACAGTAGACTTTCATCTTCTCAGCTGGTTTTCCAAATTAAAGTCGCTATTTCTTGCCCCAAAACCTGGTCTCCCAATTTATTGGCCTGTAATTCACGAGCAGAACAAGTCTGGACTTGAAAACACAAACATAAATTGAAAGTTCCCATTTGGTATATTAAATGACCTGCTTCCACTCATCTTCCTGACGTTTTCTTCTCTTGACAATTCCTGCTATGTTTATGAAAACCCTGTCATGTGGACACATTTGCATCTCTAGCCACTACCCTTCCAGGTAAGAACTGATGCCAAGAAGTCAATGGAAGTTGCTAGAATGTATTACCTGGCCAGAAAAGAGCAGAAGTGGTTACTGGCTGATGTTCAGGAGCAGGCTGGGACACCTGACAAGATGTCATAAGTATGGATAGACAGCTGGGCACCAAAGGAGAAGCTTCTAAGCCTCCATGAGGGACTTATTGGATAGGAAGGTAAAGTCCCAGCCTATAGCTCTGATCCCACCACGAGCTTCCTGGGCGAGGCTGGACAAGTCACTTAAATTCTCTAGGCCTGTGCTGTCCATCATGGGAGCCATCAGCCACATTCAGGATTATGAAGTTATTCTGTAGCCAGACAGAATTATAAATATACATTTTATTCAGCAAGTATAATATTTAAAAACATTATTGGTTTTCTTGCCCTAACAAGTTAGTTTTGTATGTCTAGCTTTCTGTGGTTTACAATGCCTGCGACTAATGATTCCCTTACAGTGAGGTATTTTGAAATTATAAGTTACTAGACACAGTACCCTCATATCACACTTGAAAAAAATTGATCCACATAAGCAAGGTGATCTGACTTAGTAGTTATGAGCAGGAGCTCTGGGGTCAGCCTACCTGAGTATAAATTCTCACTCTGCCTCCAGGGGGTTCTGTGTGAATCTTGGAAAAATTATTGTTGTTGTTGTTGTTGTTGTTGTTGTTGTTGTTGTTGTTGCTGTTATTTGTGCCTCTTTTTCCTTCCCTTTTAAATAGCGAGGAATATGTAGACTCTATCTTGTACCGTGTTGACAGGATTAAATGAGTAAACGTCTGTGCTGCCCACTTCCTTGGGTTTCAGCATTCTCCAGGCAATCAGTGTCAAACTCAGAGGCATTCTCCACTGTTTTCATCAGTCTGGGATGCTGTAACAAATTACCATGGGTCGGGTGGCTTAAACAACCACCATGTTCCTTAAGTTTTGGAGGCTGAGGTCAATGTATCTGGGAGAGGATAGCCTTCATGGCTCGAAGATGGCTGTCTTCCCACTATCTTCATGGGCCAGAGAGCAGAGAGAAGCAAGCAATCTGGGGCCCTTTATAAGGGCACTAATCCCATTCATGAGGGCTCTACTCTCATGACCTCATTTTATCCTAGTAATCACTTCCCAAGGGCCCCGCCTCCCAATACCATCACCCTGGGAGATGGGGTTTTGACATATGGATTTTGAGGGGATGCAAACATTCAGTCCACACATTGGCTAACTCTCCCCAACATGCAATCATCAAACCTGTAGCTAATTTCAAAGTAATGTTTATATCTCTCTGCCCATTTCCATTCCTGCATCCACTAATACTGAAGCCCTGTTATATTTTATTCCTTATTTTTCTGGTAAAGATTTAAATGATTCCTCTACTCCAATGATCTCCTAACACCAAACAGTCCTCTTAACAGCCCTGCCAGGTAGGTCTTCCTTAAAACACTTTCCCACTGCACCTGGTTGTTTTTCAGGTGTAAATGTCAGAATCCTCTCCACACCCCAGCCTAGAACTTCAATTCCTTACACTACTGCTCACTATGTTATTTTTCTATTACCACTGTAACAAACTTCCATAAGCTTAACAGCTTAAACCAGCACAGATTTATCACCTATGGCTGTGGAGGTCAGAGATCCAACACAGTTCTCATTGAGATAAGTTCAAGTTACCAGCAGGGTTCCTTCCTTCTAGAGGATCTAGAAGAGAATGATTCCTTGTTTTTTTTTTTCCAGTTTCCAGAGGTCACCCACCTTCCTTAGCTTGTGCCCCACGACTTCCTCCATTTTCATGGTCAGCAGCCTTTCTGAACACTGCTCCATGGCTACACCTCCCTCTGAT